CCGCTCGTCCACGGGGGGACTCCATGCTACCGGCCGCAACGCACTAACGACCGTCTATATTATCAGTCGACGCTGCGTAAATTGGTTATTGCTAATTAATATTGCATACGCACCGCTATTCCATACTGGGGTGTATAACGGAGAGGAACTCAAAGCACAATAGCCGTTAGACCGATTTGGAGTTGGAACACGCGTGAATCAAATTTTAAACTATTATTTAATTTGATTTTCATTCGCATACTTGTGTTGGATAACTCATTGAATATTTTAAGTTTTATAATTTATATCTGTTTTGTAGCATCTGAATTATAAACAAAAAAATATATCTGAGTAACATAGATAAATTATCTATTTCGTAAGTTTTGTGAAAATAAGCTGTTTCATATTACTAATATAGTATAGTATTGTATTAACTGCGATATTGCAGCTATAGTATTTAATTTGTTTTGTATTCGGGTCAATTTAATCTTATTGACTACTTATTTGGTAGGACAGGTTTCCTAATATGCTCCCATTATTAAGAAACTGCGGTAATGTCGAGTGCAAGCACGTTTATGGTTAATGTTATTATTGTCTTTGAAAATGCATGGAAACATAATAAGATAAAATTCTATCTATATAGCGTAAATATTAGGATATGGTGCTGATTAAAGGATGTAGGATGTCACAGACCGTGCGCTACTAGAATAGATCTAAAGTAGTGTAACTAGTCCAGTCCTATCTAGACTTGCAGGTCATCTAGTCTGATTGACCACTTCCAGTGGCGCAGCATGGAACCAATCTTGTTTATTCGTTATGTTGTTTATAAACTTTAGATCGTGTGTTTAATATCCTCAGTTAGATTTAGATCAAATATATTCATTGCATTTCCTAGAGACATATGAAATTTCAAATATGACGTTGGATTTTATTACATTCCAAAATGTTATAAAAACTAAAAATGTACTACTTTGTACATTTCTTGTGTATACAGTGTATATAAATCGACAAATTAGCTTTAAGCACTATCATCCAAATTGATGATGAGTGATTCCATGGTCTTTAAGTTTGTGATATAAATTTATATTAGAAATTCTAAGTTGAAACCACTTAGTAACAGAAAAAGAGACTATTTAACTTGCTGATGGCTTATTTATGAATGTCGTACATATAACTACGCGAGGAAACATATTTGTTCACAGGAAACGTCTGCCAATATACTCTCGTAGCTATTTTCTCAAGCATTTGCGATGATATAATGTGTTTTTACGTTTAACGTTCTTACAGCGCAACGGGCAAGGAAATTTTAAGCGAAAACGTGACAATGATGATGTCATTCAGTTTTTCTACAAGTGATATTCTTTGCCTAGTAACAAAGTATTGGTACAAAAATAAAATAGATATTCGAAACAGATATAGGTCAAGATTCTCTTCTACAAAGAGAGTTAAAATATATACAATAATTCATGTTATGATCATACTTGTTTAAACGGATCAGTTATATGCATCTAAATTCATCCCACATTAAAAATGCATTAAAGTGTGTGGCGGTGCATTTTGATGTGTGCGTGTGTAACAGACACAAATCAACATGCAGGGGTGACCTTCCAGAAATATCGCGCGATTCTCGAGTCACATTCACCGCGCCCGCGCCGCTTTCTACGTAACAATAAAGCTGACGATATTCGTTTGGGGGAGGACTGTGGAAATACGGGTATAAACGGATGGCCGGAATTGTAACGCATGACATAATCGCCGCATAGATCCGGGCTACTGTGCCAAACCGGCCGCGTATAGCGCCGGTGCCGTATTTTTTTGGCATCCGTTCAAAGGGTTATAAGGTGAACGTGACGATTGCGCCACTGTAACGACTGTTCGTAGTTTTTCATTAACCCACATACACGCGTATCGCATGTTTATTGATGCTGTGAAAGCTAATTATACTATATGCATCTGGTTCACTAGTGACGTTCAAAACAATGTTTCATATCACACACAAAGCGAAACATGCGATTGTAAAGTATTTAGAAAACAGAACTTTTACTTTGTACAACTTGAAATCAGATAAGCTACCTGCATCTATAAGATCAAAAATAATTCCATAATCTAATGTCGCTAAATCGATGGTAATAACTGTACTCTTTTTGCACAAAAACTACATACAACTTTGTCAAACCTTTTTTAACACATTTAATTCATTGATCTGCAAGCATCAAGAGCTTTCATGAATAGTACTTTTATATGCATTACAATGTCTGTAAATAAACAGCAAATAGAGCAATTTCACACAATATGACTCATGGACTATTGCTATCTTCTGACGCCGCATTTACTAAAATTAAGCATGCTTAGCGTAACATTTAAGACTAGCTGTTGGTTGCAACTTCGTCTACGTGAAAATAAAAATATAACTAATGTTACTCACAGATAAATTTTCTTTACAATGGTGAAAGAATTTTTAAAATCGGCCCTTAAAGTAGCTTTACATGAATCGAATACATACGAAAATACAAAAAAATTCTCTACATTATAATTTATGCTTGAACCATAGTCAAAAAATTAACACAGTAATGAGGTATTATTTCTATAATTTGTTAAAAAACGATTTTTCATTTTGTCTGCGTATAATTCTAAGAGTATCCATCAAACATTTCATAAATATAGAAATAATAAAAAAAATGTTCATCTGAAATACGTTATTCTAATTCATATATTCTGGACGATCTAAAGGGTACAAAGAAACGAGGTCATCGTATCGTGAACCGCGCAATTTTACTTGCTAATATTAAAATAACCTAAGGACATACCTACTCGTACATATTATATACTCATCATGTAATTTTGTCACGTTTGTTTCACTTTGGAATAATTCGTGTCAAAATCTTGGCAGCCTGGTTTGTATTTTTTATTTTCTTGTTTACTCTTTAAAGCTATTTGCGAAGCTTTATATGTACTGAGAATTTTACGAAGGTCCTAAATTAGCTGAATGGAAACAAAATGGAATCTGCTTATATCAGATAATTTAAAGAAAAAGTTAACTAAAGTTTTTGTAAACTTAATGATTGTTTTAAATCAGTTTACAAGTTGTCAAGTAAAGTAAACATAAGTCAAAACTAACGAGTAAAGAACTTTAATACGATACTGTCTTGTCTAAAGTAAAAATTGTTTACGCGTGATCAGATGACCCGTTAAACTAGTTGGGTCAATTTAGTGTTAAATTCAATTATACTTTGACACCATTTGAGGCTGACAACGCTTATACTGTGAGCGGTCCGGTCCTTACTGAGTTTCGTATTACAGAAACACGAACTGGGGCTAAGGGTGATTCATTCGTTATAGTTTTTTAATAAGACATGAGAATTTATGTGTAATTTTACTATCTTGTTTCCTATAAAAAATCTCATGATAATGCTTAATAGAATCTAATGACAAATATTTCATGAAATTTCTATTATATTTTCGATTGATAATTTATTTATTAATGTATTCCATACGTATCTATCAGCCGTCATATCTGAATCTGAATCCACTCTCTTCTTAAGCTCTTTCACACAATCCATCCATACTTTCTTCGGTCTTCCTCTATCTTTATAGCTATACATATCCAATCTTTACATTTTGTGGTTATGTCCCTATTTTTGTTTAAAAAACCTAACCACAGGTGTTGATATTGTGCGTAATTTTTAACATTTCTGTTTTTGTCTTCAGGTTTTTTACAGGCGTTGACCTTTTAAATGTGCATACATGTAGTCAAAACAATGGTGTTATGGTTACTCACGTTTCGGCAGACTGTGGGGCGTGGAGGGGGTGCTCGGTGACTTTAGAGGGGGCTTCGTGGCGACTGATTTGCTGCTCGATGTGTCCACTGCGTAACAAAGGATACTAAGTATAAAATGAATTCACCAGGCCTACTGGATAGTTTTAAAATTATGACTTTAAGGGCCTGTCCCACCACTGGCTGATAGAGGCTTAGTCTTAGCTTAGTTAGACGTCACTGTCAGAAAAGGGAACAAACCCGATATTTCCATCACATATTTTACACGTTGGATTGTTATCAGCGATTTATAATTTGGTGGGACAGGCCCTAAATAGTCTTAATACGTCATCTCTATAAAACAAAATGCATTCTAAAGATAATATCAAAATAGTTATAAGCGAACAGAATCTGACATTGCCAGCTTTTAGATTTTTTCTTTTATTAAATGTAACTATTGCAATTTAAAGACGACTTTAAAAAATACCTGACGATTAATTTCTGTATTAAAAACAAGAGATTTTTGTTTATATGACCAATACGACAAAAATGGTGTTAAAGTTTTGTTTCCTGTGCAAAATTCCTTTAGATGGTTAACACTTTAAAAGTTATCATACGTTTTAACACCTACCCCTTTCAAAAGTAACTTTGTGATAGACTTTTAGTAGAAATGTAATCTTAATAACTTACTGGTTAAGGTAAATAAACAAAGATATACACATTCAAACAGATTGTAAAGAGATCTTTCGAAGTATGTGAGCAAAGACTTTCATTGTACGCGTCTCTACATTTTCTAATGACAACAACATTTTATGATTGCCTCGTATCGATCTGTCGTATTTAAATTAAATAATTCAAAAAGTAACAATAATCACTTTAAAAGACTAATTTGTATGTACATGATACAATGTACTTACACTTAAAAGCATTGTCAACAATTTATACACCTTGGCCTGAATGTGCAAGAGTGAAATATCACCGTTTTGTCTCAAATGGCCCATCATCCCGCGGACCATTTTCTTGAATTGTACCCACGCGAAATGTTGTCAGCCACTTGAAATTTATTACTAGTCCTGTATAAGATTTGCTAAAGATACAATTTGGACGCTCAACGTTTCTCTTTTGTTCATACAATTGTTTTGTAAATCAAGTGTATAAAGAAAGAGGTCGATGGCCTTATTCTTTAAATATTGGTTTACACATTTTGTATATGTTTTGAATAGAATGCTGTCGATAAAGTACACGATTCCTCACTTACAAGTGTTCATGTATTGAAATTTATCAAAGAAAACAAGCGTTATAAACGTAATGCCAATGCTTTTGTATCTACAGGCCACATCATGAATACAAATAATTCTAATCAAGAGATTACCTCAAACATTTATTAAAAGTAGATCTATTATTATTTGAGGCCTCTCTATGATTAAAGTCTTAAGTTTCTCTAAATTATTTGATTACCGCTACGAACGGAAACCACTGACCCAAATTTTAACAAACAAGTGGTTGCTATAAATAGAATATCTGTTTTAAAAATAAAATAACAAGGCAACTCAATGAAAATACGCGTATTATTAAATGGATTCGTAAATCAATATGCTTTTTCATTTCGATAATGAAACATCATTTAGAGCAGAATGTACGCAAATATACGTACGGAATACTAACATGATGTAGAATAGAATAACCAAACAAAACAAGAGCGTATTAGTTTAACCGAAAAAAAAGTTAAAAAAAAACTACTTTTATATGATTTTGCATTAAATTTACATTTTAGCTTTAATCAAAACATCTTCCAGATTAATTATAAATCTCATAAATGAAATATCATTAACAATAAGACCAGAAATAGTCTTAAAAAGAGATTAAAAAAGTAGATACATGAATTTATATCTTATTTCATTGGAATATCTTTACATGAAAGCATAAAACAAATACTTCGTCTATATTCTTAATATAGTAGATAAAACAGTTTACGTTTGTATCAAAATATTGCTCGGGGCAAATATTTGTTGGCAAACAGCACTACAATGTACATAAGTCAAACTGAAGCTGTTACTGCTCTCGTAAACAAACATACTTGATTCATATTCGTCGGAACATTCAAAAATACCGGTATTACTTGAAAAATATTCGTAATATAATCCAGATATTCAAAAAGACTAACTTTTAATATTCTTGTCCGTCACTTTCACTGAGTGTTAAGTTTCACTTCATACGATTCCTGCATCCTTTTTTCAGTAGTCAGATTGTAATTAACTTATTTATTAAATACTAACTTTCACCCACGCCTCCGTCCGCGTCTAATTAAAAACAAAAGTGAGTAGATTATGTGTTCTTCAAGACTATCCTCTACATCTATACGAAAATTTCATAGAAAACCGTTCAACCGTTTAGGCTACAAACTCTAACAAACATCCATCCATCCATCTAAACTTTCGTATTTATAATGTCAGTATGAAAAGTATGATAGATAGACAACAAAAGCAAAGCTTTCTTTAGGTCATGAAATTATCTAGCTTTAGTAAATAGAATTATTCGAAATAAAGTGAATGATGTCACTTCAACAACTCATAGCTTAATGTTCTCTCGATATTTCCCAGTATTTTACTTTCAACACCTTATTCGCATAAGTCTAAAATTAAAATCTAATGAACACCAATTGGGTTTGATTCCAAGTATTTATTGATACTAAGAGCGATACATTGTACTGAGTCATACTTTGTTGCCACCACGAAAGCTTTACTTTTATTTGATACTAGCTGTTTCCGTGCGGCTTCATCCGCATGAAATTATGAGAATTTTATTGTATTTTTTACATTTGTAAAATTATCAATAGCAAATGTCAAAATGACATGACAAACCTTGGCAATCTTGTTTTCTTGATGTTGGCAGCCATTAAACTTAGAGGGTTAATATCCAAAATATTTACCCACTAAGTTTAATGGCGTGAAAATATATATGCTAAAGCGTGATGTAAGTGTAGGGCTTTGTAATAAAAAAAGGATTATTCAAATATACGTTGTAATTGCTGACATCTTAGGCAACAAAGAAGTGATTGTTTTATTATAATAGTATAGATAATAATTTGAATTCGTAGACGTAAAAAAGTGATGATATCCTATTAATTTCATCACTTGTAACAATACCAACTAAACTCAGGGAATGTGGTTCAGAATTAAACCCACGATCACTTTATCAGATCACGATTTACATTACTACTATCTAACTATGGCTTTTGATGCTTCTAAGTAAGAGACACAAGTTAAGATAGATGAAATTTACCTTATATTACTTAAATTTTAGATGATGCGATTAAACGTCTAAAGGAATTCCAGCATGTCAATAACTTAAACGTAGGAGTGTACTCGTCGAAACGTCGAGTTTATTTTTCGAGGAGTTGAAGTGACGAAAGCGACAGAGCCGGCAACTTCTCACTTCGTTTACGATGAAATCAACCCGATACGCTTCGTATACCGAACGAATTATAGCGTCCTATCGAATTTCTCTGTTTCAATGAACAAGATATTACTACTGAAAATGCTGTGAAGTGTTTGTGCATACTTCAGTAAATTACATTTGAATATAAATAAAATCGTTCCTTTCTATGGTAGAGAAGGAAAACAAAGATTTCGTTTGGTTTTCTATCTAAATTAAAAACGTGCAAACTACTTATGGCTGTTACTTCATCCTCGGATTGGACTAAAATAATGGAAAAGATACACTCCTAACCTACACACTAACATGTGTGTAGGTTAGGAGTGTATGCCAGTTTTATTATGTCCAAGGATCTATGAGGTCTATACAACGTAATTTCAAAGTCGTAAGTTAATGTATTATGTAGCGCCTTTACTAATAGTGGTATCATAAAAACATTTACTAAAAAAACGAATCACCTAAACAAATCAGACATTGTCAATGTCAAGAACGACAAAAACTTGAAATAGTTTCAAACTTACCTAATCTCTTTTCCAATCGCCTCTGCTCGACGGTTAATCACGTAATCGTCAATATTTATCCCGTTATTAGTTCGTAATTCGTAACTAATTGTAGAGAGGACAGCACCGGTGCGGTCCCGAGTTCGACTGTGACAGGGCACACGATCATAATACTACTTTCTGTATGTAACTCACAATAAAATGCCCGCTTTGTGTACTGATTACGACACGCTGTACTAAACACCGGTGCCATCAGTTCGATGTCGTAATATAATGTTTGACCCGCTGTCCCAATGTGAAGTCGATCACAGGTGTATCCTTTCGAAGAATTATTGAGTCAATGTGAGAAAACTTCGATTTTAGTGGTCAAGAAATGTTTACTAAAGTAAAGTTTGTTATGTGTGACCTACATCCTCTTAATTAATTATTCATTAAAAATGAAAGAGGGATCCATAGTTAACCCTGTTGAAGTTATGCGAGCTATCAAGTATGGGTTTGGAAAGCTTTTTCGTTATTTTAATGCGAATTAAAATGGAAGCCTGCTGTCTGAATTTATTGTAACATAAACATTGCTTTATTTTCTAAAACCTGTTCACAAATGAAATAAAACAAATATTATTTACGACCAAAGTAAAGTTTTTAAGTGATTTAAGGTATATTTGTTAATTTTGTTGGCGGGTGTCGCAATGAGATTAGGTTGCGTGTATAATAATTTAAGTGGTGTCCATTAGGGACTCTTCGTTTGAATATTATGTTTACATGAATACAAAAAAGGTTTACTTAAATTATTATATTTAAATTTAAAACAAAGTTATGTTTCAATGATTATCAGTAACTCTTAATTTCTAGGAAAAGGTAAACTATTTAAAATTAACTTTAACACAATAAAGAATAAACTATAAATGCGAAAGTTTAGATGGATGGATGGAAGGATGTTTGTTACAGTTTGTAGCCTAAACGGCTGAACGGATCTCGATGAATTTTGGAATTTATTTATATGATAGTATGGAAGAACACATAGGCTTCTCGCTATTATTTTTTTTAAATTCTTACGGACAGAGTCGCGGGAGAAAGCTAGTTAAGAATAAATGAAATGTCATAGTTAATATTTCATTTAGATAGAGTTGAAGCTATTGTACAATTCGTAGAACTGGAAATGCAATTGAAACAGCCGCA